GTGCTCAGGGCTGGTGCACTGGGAAGACCCAGAGGGATGGGATGGGGAGGGAGGTGGGAGGGGGGTTCAGGATGGGGAACACATGTAAATTCATGGCTGATTCATGTCAATGTATGGCAAAAACCACTATAATATTAAAGTAATTAGCCTCCAACTAATAAAAATAAATGAAAATAAAATGAAATCTGCATGTTACATGAAGTAGAGTTAAAAAAAATTTTAATATCACAATTATCTTCATCCTTATGACACACGAAGTTAAAGCAATAATTCACTGTATTTTTCCTTATTAAACTCCTGATTATTATTGATTCCTATTCATTTACAGTGTTCAAATGATGATCTAAACACAGTTCAGATGGAAATAATGTACTTCCATTTACAGAACAGACTTCCCAATATTTTATATTTGAAAGAGCCATTCTTAAGTAACCTGTTAAGAATTTTAAACCTAATGTTCATATTTTCAATTCAGTAAGTCTGTGGGTTAGTTTGCTGTTTGGTTTGTTGGTTGGTTTGGGGGTGGAGGTAGGGACTAAAATCAACATACATTATTTCCAGAGCAGACAACATATTGTAATATACAAGTCAATCTTCAAATTCTAGATTTTCTTTTTTTCAGCCATGCCTTCTTTCTGTTAACAAAAGTGGCCTCCTGTATGCTTCTATCAAGTCCCTTTATGATATTCAACACAGAGGAATGATAACTTCCCACAAGTTCAGTTGGGGTGGGCATCAAGTAGAACTCGTGGCAGCACTGTCCCATGATGTAAGAGTTCAGTTCCTCATTTCACCAGAATTTTCTCTCAATGTCTCCTCCCCCAACACAGTAGAATTTCACTCATAATTTGGATTTTTAAACCAGAAAGTTGTTTTGGTTAATCCAAAATAACCCAAAGAGCTTGCTAAAGTTATATCAATACGCAGCTTTTTTAATAGGATTGAAAGAATTAAATAGAAGGCACAGTAGCACTGTAAAGCTTTTTCAGATCATAATCTTTTTGTGTGTGTATATATGGAACCCAAACTTTCTTTTTTGTTGTTAAAAACGTCTGATCAACAATCAGAAAATCCTCATTTGTCCTCTTTCCCTTTAGTTTTCCTGTATACCATCTCTCGAAAACTGGCCAAGATCTTGTTTTCTCTCTTTCGTCTCTCTTCTTGGTTAAAGGATGCAAGGGCTCTCTTCTCATCGGCACTATAGATCTGGTTTTCTTTTCGCAGACGCACAGCTTCCATTCGGCGATGCCTGGAAATAATTGTATTTTTGGCTTAATTTCTCAGTAATTATTCTCATAGTGTTTCCTCACTAATCCTTTCCTAATACAGAGTGGTCAATTTAAAATGCTGACAAATAGAAAC